TACTTCCTTTGTGTTCACAGCTAAAAGTTGTGGCAGGCCACGAATCCCTCTCCATGGCAACATGAAATCACACGTATTTACGTTCCGTAGTAAGGTTTATTTTGAATGTAACCCCGGCTTCAAATTGGTTGGAGACAAGTATCGCCAATGTCAGGCGAATCAAACATGGAGTGGACGTTTGCCAACCTGTAAACGTAAGAAATGATGCTACTTAGTGTTTCATTAGATACTGTTTTACTAAGCAAATGGAAAGCTCTCGGAGAAAGGGGAAAGAGCGTGAAAATACAAATTAGGGACTCAGCGAGCTCCTCCGAAAGAAAGGTATCTTGCAAACGACAAGTAACATTCATGCCATAGATTTCTTCCGGGACGAATCTTTTGTGAAAATTCATATTACCTGTTATCCTCCACCACAGTCCCCTCTCCCCTCTCCCCTCTCCTTAAACAGTTTTATTATGGTCAGTCCTCAAAGCGATGGAGAAGCGAACAAATCGGAACTAAGTTTATTTGCTGTTGCTTTATAATTATCTCCATATTTTTCTTTTGTCCTTTAAAGCAATCGATTGCGGTAGGTTGTCGACTCCACATAAAGTTTTAATATTTTCGGAAACCGGTCACACGCGACTTGGCGGTTATGTGAAATATCGATGTAAGGAGAAAGGCTACGAGCTGATTGGCTCGGAGACTCGAGTTTGTCAAAACGATGAACAGTGGAGCGGAGTTGAACCTTCGTGCCAAAGTAAGTACTATTCTTATACAAACTAACTTTAACATTACACTTATATTCAAAAGAGAATGATTCAATATGCAAAGGCCAACCTACATCCTTCACGCATTCCTGTCTCGCTGTTGTTCAAACTTAGTTTGGTTATGAATGTGTGTGTTTCATGAAAGCTTGCGGTATTCCAAATGTCCCAGAATGCCATGCCATTTTTTTATTTGGCGTTTAATCTCATTATCACGTGAACGTTTGTGCGGCTAATAAAATGAAAATTACGCCGTCTTAATGGATATGTGATAAAGTAAGTGATCCTAAATTTTAAAAATAAAAATACACGCGCCCGTGTATTCTGAAGTATTTTAACCTTAAAATTTTTTTTTTACAGTTATAAACTGTGGGAATCCAGATGCCGCAGCTAATGTTAAACAAATTAGAATTACAAATGGTTTTGATTATGGTAGCTCGGTGGAATTCGCTTGTGAGGCGAATTACATTTTGGAGGGATCCAAAATAATAACCTGTGGAGAAACAAAAGAGTGGAGTTCATCTGCCCCAAGTTGCCTTGGTGAGTAAAATTGTTACTAAAGAATCGTAATAGTCCATTTTACAGTTGCCTGATTGCCTGCCAAGCCTTTGAACAGAAGTGAGGCTAAGGTTGACCTTGCTATGATACAAACGTTATTGCTTGTCAAATGTAAATTACTTTGTTAGATCAAGTTGTGCTTACTAGATATTGGTCTCTATCACAACATGGTCACCTTCAGCCTCACTCCAAATCAAAGGCTTGGCAACTAAGTTCACAACTGTGAAATGTCCTATTGAACGACGTTGTGGTATAATGGCGCAGGGGAGGAGGGAAGGGGTTGCTCATTATTGATGCCAACTTCGGAGCTAAACAAAAGATTAAATGCTACTGAACAAAACAACAACAACAACGAAAATCAAGCAACGAATAAATATCTAAAAAAACGCAAGAGGGAAAGATATAAATTAAAAGGTGAAAATAGCTTTGGCATCAACAGTTTTAAAGTAATAAGTAATGTTTATGTATTGATTAACTCGACTGTTCAATCGAATAGTTTTCAGATCGTATAGTCATGGGCCATTTAATCCATTTTCCCTTATATTCTCTCAGAGCTTGCTTTCTCATTTCTTGAATACATTACACGACAAACGGATCAGAATGCTTACATTTACACGAAATTTACCTTTCAGCTCCATGTTCAGACCCTGGTAAGCCATGGAATGGAATAAGAATAGGAGATGACTTTAAGCATGGGAAATTCATAAAATTTATATGCAATGACGACTTTGAACGTGTTGGGAAAAAAACCATCCAATGTTTGAATGGAAAGTGGAGTCACAAGATACCCCAGTGCAAAGGTAAAAGATGTATTAGATAGGAACGACAATGGTTGTTCTATGATTAATAAGCCACAAAAGTAATCCAATAGGAAGATGTGAAGGGAATGGAAGATACTGTTCATTATGGTTCTATAGTTAAATGAACGATTAATCGTTTGCCTCACGATGTGGAGTCAGGCTATCAATCGCATTAATCGCTTCGTTTCGACTTCTATACTGCTAATCTTCGTCAAACGACGAGGATGAGAGTTTATTATTTTAGATTTTTATTTATTTAACATATTTGTAATATTCAAGGTACGAACCATTTTGTTTTTTGTTAATATCTTAGATTAGTAAATTATAATTACTCACCCTGTAGATATAATTATGGGTTTTGTTATTTGGTCTTTGATAAGTTATGTATATGGCCCTTTTTCTTTAGAAATCTCGTGCGGAGATCCAGGAACACCAACAGATGGAAGGCAAACAAATGTCGTCAAAAACTTTGCTTTCAGAGGAACAGTAGAATTCCAGTGTGATAAAGACTACACCTTGCATGGCAAATCATCTCTTTCTTGTCAAAGGAACAAGACGTGGGATGGAGATGTTCCAAAGTGTTTAGGCAAATATCTCTCTTGTGATTAAATATTTGAGCATTCAGAAGCTTTAGAACACGATCAAACTGTTTCGTTATGTTGAAAAGCAATATAAATAAGCTCGAAACGATTTCCTCATTTCACAACAAGTTATCACTTGATGGTCGTACACTTCCATAATTTCTCGTTAGTTTCCATTGTAAAAGTACAACTTTTCGGGAACACGCTTCATTGAGTCATGGTGCCTTCTGCTAAAAATGAGTTTTGTAGCCCCCGCTCTATTTATTAGCGATCGAGATATCGATTTTTATATTGTGATACAATTGAAAAAAAAAGGTCTCACGCTTTGTAGTTTAAGCAAAAAATTCAAGTGCTCGGTCAAGCAGGTCAGGAAGAAAGAAAAGAACTCTTTTGGGGAGGTATGATAACCCCTTTTGTATTTAGTGGAAAGCGACTGTGACTGAACGTTCTCCAAACATCTGGCCTACATAATTGTACTGATATTCCATATAATTCGCTTTAAGGATGGTTAGTGCTGCTATTTAGCCCGCGAGCTGCTTTCTAGCTCGCGAGCTGCTTTCACTCACGCTCATAGGGTATGATTTTAGACAAATGCTGTTATTTTCATTTTTTTCTATTTTTCATTTTTAGCATCCTGCTCTGACCCTGGTACTCCAAGTCAAGGGAAAACCATTGGAAGTGCTTTTGAACACGATTCAGTCGTAACCTTCCAATGTTTATCCAATCGTGTTTTAGATGGCGCCTCGAAGATAAAATGTAACAACGGGCAATGGGACGCACATCGCCCAACATGTAGAGGTTTGAAAGTTTTCTTAACTAATTGAATATCGTTGATTTGATAGAGAACTATAAATTTTAAAGAGCAATATGGCCATGATATGTTTGGTGCAGTATAGTAAGAAGACGCTAGTTGTGAAGAAGCAAAAAAAAATGTAGAAGTCATCCAATTCATGTTATGGTAGACTTCTTGACCCAGTGGAGTGACAGCAACAATATTTCGTTGTCATGTTAAAGTCTTTCCAATCGGAAGCCTTTAAAATGGAATTGAAACTACAGAAACTGGCGGCAACTTGCATTTTTGAATTTGTAGCTTATAGCTCATTGTCCACTTTATTTTTACGTTTAAGATTGAGACGGACCCCTGAAAACCTCCAGAGGAAATATAAAGTGTTCAATCGAAGGACAGACGAGTTATACTGAGATAAACCTTCAAAAGGAAAATATTATTACGGCGGCAAGTATCCAGCTGGGAAAAGATAAAGGAAATGTTCTACAGATTCAAATAAAAGCGCTTCTTTCCAGCAAATGGGTACCCATTTCCAAACCTTTCAAGGTAAAAACCTGATTACAATATTTCCTCTTACTTCCCGTATTTTTCTGCTCTGGACTGTGGAAGAGTGATTAAGTGAAATATGAAAATTTGACAATCAAGTAGCATAGTCATATTCGCTAGCACAAGTATAACGTTAGATTTTTACACCAACAGCCATCTTTCAGTGAAGGAGTGAGAACAATTAAACTTCCTCAACCGGTTATTGCTCAGTCTTTGCAAGTTCTGCTCATCACCAGACAGAGACTCTCTAGTTGTTTAACACCGACATTATATGGATGTGATGCAGTACGTCGAGGTTAGGCTACTTAGTTCATAGATGAATTGTATCTTTAAGTTCTCTCTCCAACACTCTCTTTAGATAAGCATCCACAAATTAAAATGGAACGATTTCATGACTAAAATGTAGAAAATTAAAACGTATTTTCTTCTAAAATCACAGTGATTAGCATTGATGGTTGCATAATGTATTAAATAAATCCTTTAGACGAGAAACTGTTCCGAGTTCAGCTTGAGAATCACCTCATTTTTATGCAATAACTATTCGTATTGTTGTCTAGCCTCACGTTTTGCGTCCTTGTCTTTTTAGGTTGTATCATGCCAGGCTCCGCAGTTCTCTTTAAAGAGGGAGGAAAATATCGTAAAGGGCGTTTTGCATTTGTCAAGTTGGAAGTCATTGTAGGAAAACAATACAAATATTTAAGCAAAGATGACATACTAATTCTTGATGAGAAATCTAACGTCAACCAGCTAACTGAAGGCACTATAGTCGTTGGAACAGATTCGCAAGGGAAAATAAAGAGGGGAAACATAAAAAGATCGTGCAGTTCCACTTCCTGTCCTATAGAAACAAACGGTGTAGAGTGGCAGAGCAAATTAGAAAACGTTCGATTATTCAAAGGAGAATTGTGTAAATAGTTCACGTTCATATGTTATATAAAATGTCTGAGCGCATGTTGGACTGTATTGAACAATCTTGAACAATCTATCGTTCACTTTTGACGGGCGCAGAAAAGGTGGGCTCGTGCTCACTCAAACTCTACTTATAATTTAAAGAAAGTAGACAGCTCCTGAGTGTGCTACTGTACGTGCTCTTAGATTTTTCCGTTTTTAATTTCTCTGTGGAGCATAGGACCTCTAGTGTAAAATTCCTATACTTAATGTGTTGTAGGGGCTATTCAAATGACCTCTAAAAATGCATCTCTGCATTTATAAATAAAAACTGTTACAGATATTTGAAAATTTTTAAAATACAAGGTTGAGCAAAATATTGTGGCAAGCAGATATACAATTTGCCGAAGCCGAGACGATATTACGCCTAGGGCAACCAGAGGCAGTTATAGCAAGTCACATGATAGTATGTTCTCCCGATTAAAAGAGACAAAAGTTGAAAAGGCATCGAGTGATGATGTCCTATAAATGATTCCCACAAACTTAATTCAAAGCTCGATGACGGCTCGCTGACACCCCCCCCATGAAAAATAAAACTTGTTTTGGTACCTTTTTACTGTTTTTTTTTGTGCTCTTCGCACTTTCAACTCCCTAAGCATAATTGTTTCGTCAAATTGATGTTGGCTTTCTGGGTAAATTTAACTTATGTTTAATGTTATTTAAACAAGTAAATTTCAATAATTTTGTTTCGAATGCATTACTTTGTTTTGATTTACTATTGTTATCAATTTTAATACCGTTGATTTCAACGTACGATTCAGCTTTAGGCATTGATGTCTAAGCAGTAAGAGGAACAAGGGAAGTGTACATGTTGTTCCGCCGAAAACTGGTTAATAAATGAAAATTGAACAGAGCCGGAAACAATTAAGCTCATAGTTTACGAAAGTTTGACTACTTTTTTCGGTGGCGTAATGTTGGTTTTATCGATATAAGCTAATTAAAAGCACTTAAAAGGGAACCCTTATGACAAGTCCTTCCGGTAAAAACAATTGAAAACGAAGAGTTTTCGCTTTTACTAAAGCAGCATTATTCTCTTCTGGATGTTTCATGGAAAGTTATGCTTCAAGAATGCTAACGTGACGCTCAGTCTTTGCAAGTTCTGCTTTTCACCAGACAAGGACTCTCTAGTTGTTTAACACCGACATTATATGGATGTGACGCAGTACGTCGAGGTTAGGCTACTTAGTTCATAGATGAATTGTGTCTTTAAGTTCTCTCTCCAACACTCTGTTTAGATAAGCATCCACAAATTAAAATGGAACGGTTTCATGACTGAAATGTAGAAAATTAAAACGTCTTTTCTTCTAAAATCATAGTCATCAGCATTGATGGTTGTGTAATGTATAAAATAAATCCTTTAGACGAGAAACTGTTCCGAGTTCAGCTTGAGAATCACCTCATTTTTATGCAATAACTATTCGAATTGTTGTCTAGCCTCACGTTTTGCGTCCTTGTCTTTTTAGGTTGTATCATGCCAGGCTCTGCAGTCCTCTTCAAGGAGGGAGGAAAATATCGTAAAGGGCGTTTTTCGTTTGTCTTGAGTGTCGACTGGGAAGTCGTTGAAGGAGAACGATACAAATATTTAAGTAGAGATGACATACTAATTCTTGATGATAAACCTAACGACAACCAGCTACCTGAGGGCACTGCAGTCGTTGGAACAGATTCGTAAGGGAAAATAAAGAGGGGAAACATAAAAAGATCGTGCAATACCACTCACTGTCCTATAGAAACAAACGGTGTAGAGTGGCAGAGCAAATTAGAAAACGTTCGATTATTCAAAGGAGAATTGTGTAAATAGTTCAATTTCACATAATGTATAAAACGTCTGAGCGGATGTTGGACTGTACTGAACAATCTTGTTAAATTTATCTTTTACTTTTAACGGGCGCAGCGAAGGTGGGCTATCGTTAAAAGAGGACTTGTGCAGGCTCGATCCGCCAACAAGATCGGAGCTTCGTGCTCACTCAAACCCTACATATATTTTCAAGAACGTAGACAGCTCCTGAACGTGCCACTAATTTCTCTAGTAATAGGGGAAACATAAAACGATTTTTCAGTTCCACTCCTATTGTAGAGTGACAAAGCAAATGAGGAACGTAAGAGAATCCAAAGGAGTGTTATGTAAATAGTTCATGTTTGACTAATGTATCAACATTTTTTACGTCCTAATGGGGGTTGGGTTGGACTACATTGAAAAATCCCCCATCTTCGACCTTTGAGGGGTAGTGTCGGTGGACTATCGCTCAAAGAGGGTTTGTAGAACTTCAATCTGCCAACAAAATCGAGAGATCGCCTTAGCACTAAAACCAACATATTGTTGTAAGAAATTAGATAGTTCTTGAGTATGCAACAGTAAGATCCCTTAAATTTTTCATTTATTTTTTTATCTTTTTTTTAATGAGCAAGTGAAGTAGAAATCATTGTAAGGGAGCGCAAGTTTTTCCTCTTTTTATTTCTGTATGGAGCAGAGGACCTCTGGTGACAAATTACTACACCCACTGTGTGGTAAAGGCTTCTCAGTTGACCTTTAAACTGGGTTTGGTAAAAAGGTTTAAAACTGCGCTAGTTATTGTATCATCATAAGACAAGATTTGACAGGATGTCGTAGCGAATAGATCGATTTTTGTTGCCGCAGCCGAGACGATACTACACACAGGGTAACCATCATTTGTAGGCGGTTATTCCCAAGTCGTATGGCAGCTTTCTTTTTTTTTATTTTGCAGTGTAAAGAAACAAAAATTGAAACTGTCTCGAATAGTGATGGCCTTCAGTCGATTCTCACAAAGTCAAACTAAAGCAGTCAGGCATCTCACCTAAACTTACTCAGAACATTCCGCATGGCAATCGTTTGAAAATATTCCATCCTCCCCGCAAAAACAGCAAACCAGTTTGGTACCTTTTTAGAGCCCATGCTATTAAGTCGCTTCCTTCAACTCCTTATGCATAATTGCTTGGATTGCGACTCCTTCTCCTTTTTTGCGCGTGTTAGGATAGTCTATGACCTTCCGGTGCGTTATAACAATGCGCAAGAAATCACCCTCGCCTCTCTATCTCTCTCTATTGTTGTTTTTTATTATTTTCTGTCTTTTTTAAAATTATTTTAGAATAAAATTAACCTGTTAAAACAAAGAGTCTGCCGTGACGCTTTTGGAAAGTATCCAGTTCTGAAAAATAAATAGCCATTTCTTAGTAATGATGTTATAATCCGCTTTAGCTGGAACAGCGCGTTCTACGAATGCTGTATCATATATATCTTTTAGATGCTTAATAACTTAATGTGTTGTTAGGGAGTTATATTATAGACGAATGGGAGGGATTTTCTGGAAAAGGCTCGAACTCGGACTTCAAAAGCATTGATTCACAATTTTGCCATCGAGCTTAAAGCAAGACACAACCAGATGTGTTTCTGTACGTGTTTGATTTGCCTGACCTCGACCTCGACTTCGTATGGTTTAATTAACTCTCTATTTAACCCCAATTTAATTGAGAAAAAATTCAGTCCATAAAAACAATAACCAGCTTTCCTTGATGAGTGAAAGTTTTTGTGTATTTACTCTGATCATTTGCTAACGTGTTGACGTGTTGACAACACCAGTCTAATCCAGCTTTGCACGTCTGTCGAGCAAAAGCATCAAGGGAAGTCCTAATCATAAATGAGTAAATGTTGGCAAGTTTTCAGACAAATGCACTGAAGGTTAGCCTCTGACTATTTTTAAATGTTCAGCTTCAGAGGAAGTAAATGTTACTGTAGATCAAAATAATACCCACATCCAAGTTCCTCATTCAATGCGAATCGTTTTAGTGAAGACGACATATTTTGCTTGCGAAATAGATTAAGTTGTTAACGAGAAAGTCAAAGGGAATGAATTTGTCTGCTGCCTGTATCGTTTATGTTTTAGTGGTTCTATCCCATTGTGGATCTGATGGTAAGTAGCGGGGCAACAGAAAACGTTGCTTGTTTTACTATGTAAAGACCTCAACTTTACTCTTTCTTAGCTTTACCTTAGGTTTAGTATATATTAGGTTTGCGATGAATATGGATTATATGGGAAGGGTTATGCAAAATCAAAATAATTCTGAAAAACACCGACGTAATAATAGAAAACATTCTATCTAAAAAAATTGTAACTATTGTACTTAAGGCTAAGAATAGTGATATATTTGCGTTCAATTTTTCACGGTTCATCTGAAACTTCATCAAACGTTAGTGGATGTAAAACTGAAAGAAAAGAGGTTTGCAGTAAGTAAGGAGGCAAATGTTTCTATTGCAAGGTACTTGAATAAGAGACAGCAATAGCGAAACATTAGATTACATTGGGACTAATATTTGTTTCTGGATTTTGGGGGGTTTACAGAAATGTTTCCATAAAGTCTCATACTAAGATGTGATACCTTTATGTGAATGCTACCAAGTTTCTAAATTTTAATGCACTTGGCTGTAGTTCTATTTTTCACTTCCGCGGTAATTAAACTCGATCCGAGACTTAACCGCAAATTAAAAATTGGTTGACAAGAAAAGCGAAGTAAACTGTAAACAAACATTTCGTTGCTGTGTTACACCAAGAGACCGGAAACACGTGAGTAAGGAACCAGGAACTTTGTGTTTGTTAGGGAAAGAGGTCGTCCTAAATGTTCAGCTCGTTAGTTGATCTGCAGATGTAATTGCGGAGACTTAGGCTTTCTAGAATAAAAAAAGTGATTTAAGAGGAAACGTGTGTTGAACATTTTCGACAGGATATCAAAGCAAGAACATTTCAAGAGAAGTTAACGCACACTAAGAACTAAACGCGAGCTGATAACGAAATACACTCGCTTTAAATGACGAACCCTATTCCAAATTACGGTGACGCATTCTTGAAATGGAACTAAACTCCTATATTACATATTTTAGAACGTCAGTCATTCTGGTTATTATATTCCCTTTTTCAGTCGGAAACAGAGTCAAAAGTCATTGTTTTCTAACG